TTCCCATGCCCTTCACGCTGTTATATGTTGTAAGTCAGCCTACCATCAACCTTTTTCGGCACGTCTTTTGACACCTTCCCAGTATCTTTCAAGTCGATATACCAGCTATCTTCCTTGCCTTCCTTGTTCTTCAATGTGAAGCCTAGAACTGCTTTTCCTTTTTGGATGGCTTCTTTGCGCTCGGCATCACTAGATGAAAGGGAATCGCTGATCAGGTCAAAGGCTGCTGATGAGGGAAAAGCGTCTACTGCAAGTTAGTCACGTCTCAATACACCACAAGGATAGAAGAACGATATACCATTCTTGAGAGTCATCTTCGAAGTAGGTTTGGAATGATAGTAGATATCCTGAGTCGCTCTTTTGGTTCTTGGGCCTCAAGGGAACAAATGGTAATTGATGGAAGCAAGATGTAGTAGTCAAACAAGTAGTAGTTATAGGATTTAAAATCAATGGAATAGTCAAGACAAGTAGGTCAGACACTGGAGATTGATGCAGCGGACATGTGAATAGAAGCATGTGAAATCGCCGAGGCTTTGGAGGGCTGCCACTGCCATGGCAGTGCTTCAGTGACTCTGGGCGATGTCGGGGCTGGTCTGGCGCTTTACCTATTGTCTTTAAGCACTACAGTACTAACACAAAAGTATCTACGCGCGATAGATTTTAGGACAAAAATCCTACTTTTCCGATTAATCTCAGAGCATTTCTAATTAAACAATAGATAACTTATATAAATAAATTTCTATATATTAGTAGAACTTTTTACCACTTATTATCTTATAAAATTTTGGGGATGAAAGTTGCACGCAACCGTATAGGACGTTAGAGTTTTAAAGATCTAATTCTTAAAATTCATATAATATTTTTATATAAAAAATCTAAAGTTCTACTTTTTTAAACTCTGAATTGTTATTATCAATTTCTTATCATGATATTATCTATGAACAACATACCATTCTCTATCAATATTAATCTATTACATAAAAATATAAAGCTGATGTGTAGACTATTAAGATTACAGGAATGAAAAAGTGCACTTTTTGCCCTAAAGTCGACTACGGGTAGATACTTCTGCATAGTGACTGGTAATTAGCACTGGTGCAGGCCCTTTTAGTATGGGAGGGGCAGAAGTATTCATAGCTTGGTGCTGGTAGCTTTGTGGGAGCTTATCTCGTTTTTGACCATCCAGATAGGCCGTGTCAAACCCGCTATTAACTATTCAGCTTAGCGGCCATGAAAGCAATCTGTATCAGGCTGAATACTAGCGCCGAGCTATGAATACATCTGCCCGGTACCGTAGTAAATTTCCGAGAGCACATTAGGCGCGACCCGTGCCACCGTGATAAGGCTGAAGCTGGAAAGAGAATTCTAGGATTGTGGTCTGTAGTTGCGTATTGATGCCTCCTCAATATCCATGCTATGAGAAGATGCTTCCAACCGTCACTCATCAAATATGTCAACATCAACGAAATGATTCAGGCCTTCCTTCAAGATTTGTGGCATGCAGCTTCTTTCTCAATCCTGCAAAATTAATGCGGCTTTCTGCGCCGCCTCAAAAGTGAATTGTAACTACAGCCTTGTGTCACAATAATCAACACTACTGCCTCTGTGATGACCTCCATTCTCCAGCGTCTCTGATGTGGTGTCTCATTGAATCTAGCTTGAACTCATCATCGTCTACTAGTCCAGTGGACAGGTAAACCGTGTGTCCCATAACCACGGAGAGAGGGATTCTCGCACGCCATTTCACCTGACTACAAGTCACAGCCTTCCCACACAACATCCTAGAGCAAGCTATTGGGGCTCAGTATCAACCGCCTATTCCTCTGATCGAATGTTCTGCCACCATGGCGGATGCTAGGATCAAACCAGAACCTTCGCTCCAAAATGTCCAAGATGACATCGAAATGTACCAAGTGCTTCTTAAGAGCTTGTACGACTCCGCCGATCCCGACGAAACACTGAAAGCAGAATATGAAGAGAGGCTAGCAAATCTGCAGGAAGAACTTGAGAAATTACAACCTATGCCAAAGTGGGATGCCATGTCTTCCGATACAAGTAGCCAGCAGGGTGAAACCGACGCAATGAGTCAGTCGACTGCATATATCAAAGATGATCTCTCAAGCACAACATCCGATCACAACCCAGATGATCCTCAAGTGAAGCACGAATCATTTCAGAACCCAGGTACTGAAAGTGCATACGTCAGAAGGGAAACTGGCAGGAATTATGGGCTTGCGGGAGATATCGTGTCAGGGTCACCATTCAATCGTTCTCAGCCAAACCCTACGCTACCAAATCGCAAACGTCCATATTCGGGAGAATATAACTATCCATACTCAAAATCGATGCGAGCTTCACCTAGCCCGGCCGTGTCGGCAGCCTCAACTCCCCATTCCACAGGATCAGAGTTTGATGATATGATGAGCAACCTACTAGGTGCAGAAGTCAAGCAAGAATACAGAGACTATGAAAGAGAACAACAAGAATGGGATGCCCGTCAAGAGCAGGAGAGGCGTGATGCAGAATTAGCTCGCTCCATTCAGGAGTCTTGGAATTCTCCCATTGTCTACTCAAAACCTCAAACGATGTCTACGTTCCAAACCTCATTGGGATCCAGTAGTGGCTCGATGCTGATGATGCCTCCTCCATCCGTACCTAAACTCAAGGCAGAAACCTCGACACCGAACACCCACAACAGTATGACGAACGAGCAGATTCCCTACATGCCGGGCTCCTTTCATGACACGATCTCCCATTACGGCGAAGACAGTAGCAGTAGCAGTGATCTTGAAGAGATTCCACCAAGCTCATTTGTGCCCCGGGTGAAGCCTGAGCTAACATCCTCTTCATATTATCAACCTTGGAACGACTCTCAAAGCATGTTCATTCCTCAGTCTCCTGGTGCTAACGTCTACAATGCTTGGCCTGGCTCTGAGGCCTCTGCTGGTCATGGCGTGTACCAAGGATTTGGAGGTTTGCAGAAATTAACTGGAGGTACCAGTTATAACGACCTCCTGGGCGCAACTTCAAGTTACGTGTCTTCCATCTATAAAAACACAGAGGACAGTTTATCAGGTGGATACAGTGGCACCTCAAAGGTCCTTGACCCTGTCTACAACGATCCGACCAAGACGCATGAAGAGCTAAAAAGCCTACTAGCCAACATCAGACCTGACGAAGAGGTTCACCCCGCAAATCGTGAAGGAACGCCGGAAGCGATGAAATGCACGTTGATGGAGCATCAAAAGCTGGGATTGACTTGGATGAAGAACATGGAAGAAGCATCAACGAACGGTGGCATTCTTGCAGATGACATGGGCCTCGGAAAGACAGTCCAGGCATTGGCATTGATTGTCTCTAGGAAGTCAGAAAATCCCGCCTGCAAGTCGACCTTGATCGTGGCACCTGTTGCACTTATGGGTCAATGGGCTCGAGAAATTTCGAAATTGTTAAAGCGTGGCAAGCACTCCTTGACCGTAGAGACCCTCCATGCAAACACAAGAGATCTACAATGGGCAAAGCTGCGGGAAAAAGATGTGGTCCTCACCACATATGGAACCCTAGCCTCAGAGATTAAACGAAAACACGCCTGGGAAGAAAAATTGAAACGAGTCCCAAATGCGAAACCTTCTGGCCGGGGTGAGCATATTCCCTTGCTTGGGGAGAAGTCAAAATGGTACAGAGTTATTCTTGACGAAGCGCAATGGATCAAGAACAAGGCCACCAAGGCAGCGATCGCTGCTTGCTATCTTCAAGCTGAGTATCGGTGGTGCTTGACCGGCACTCCGATGCAGAATTCTGTTGACGAGCTTTACAGCCTCATTCGATTTTTGAGAATCGCTCCGTACAACTCGTTCGAGAAGTTCAACCGAGACTTTTCTCGGCCTCTCAAGGCCAAATCGTCCTACGCGGAGTCCAAGGAGAATGCAATGCAGCAGCTTCAAGCGCTGTGTAAAGCCATAATGCTGCGGAGAACTAAAAATTCTAAGATCGACGGTCAGCCGATCCTCCAGCTCCCGGAAAAGACCATCGAACAACAGCAAGCTGTCTTCAGCAAGGACGAGCAAGAATTTTACCAAGCACTTGAGAGCAAGGCCAAGATCACATTCAACAAGTATCTCAAAGCCGGTACAGTGGGACGGAATTACTCTAACGCCCTGGTACTTTTGCTTCGACTGCGCCAAGCTTGCTGTCATCCTCACCTGATCAAGGATTTGGAGATGGAAACAGGTGCCGGTCCGGACAACATCGACAAGTTGGCGAATGCGGAAACGTTACCTGCTGATGTAGTGGAACGCATCAAGCAGGTCGAAGCATTTGAATGCCCCATATGCTTTGACGCAGCGATCAATTCCCTCATCTTCAATCCATGCGGTCATCCTAGTTGCAATGAGTGCTTTGACAGACTGGCTACTCAGGCGCATGCCAACTCAGACAATGAAAATGGCTCTAATATACTTTGTCCTAGCTGCAGAGGCAAAGTGGACCCATCCAAGCTGACCGATATGAAGTCTTTCAAAAAGGCATTTGGTCCGGATTTGGTAGGTGAAGGGGACGACGAAGAAGTCCATGAGCGTCAGACCGAGGATGGAGAGGATGATGTCGAAAGCGACACCTTTTCTGATAGCGACGAAAGCGACGACGATATTGATGACGATGGCGACCTTGCAGGCTTCGTGGTTCCTGATGATGAGATCGAATTTGATAGTGGTGGGGAAAACGACAGCAAAGAGAACGGTAAAGGTAAGAACTCCTTCGGACAACTACCGACCAAGGAACATGAAACGGAAGGGCCATGTTCTGGTAAACAAGGACCGCGACAACGCAAGCGCAAAGGGAAGGGCAAAGCATCACCCACCAAGCATCTGTCGTTGGCACAGCTGCGCATAGAAGGTCTCAAAAACAAGGCAGCCAAGAAGAGGTATCTAAGAAGGCTGGAGAAGAACTTTCAGACATCTGCAAAGATTGAAAAGGCTGTTGAGCTGCTTGATGCGATCGGAGGCCGGGGCACAAACGAGAAGACCATCGTCTTTTCGCAATTCACAAGCTTGCTAGATCTGCTTGAGGTGCCATTGTCCCGAAAGGATATACAATACAAACGTTATGACGGCAGTATGAAGCGAAATGATAGAGAGGAGGCAGTCATGGCATTCACGGATGACCCTCGCTACACGGTCATGCTTGTTTCATTGAAAGCTGGCAACTCCGGTCTCAATCTGACCGCCGCTTCCCAGGTCATCATCTTTGACCCTCATTGGAATTGGTATGGATGGTTCCCCAATGTACCCATGCTTAATTTGCTCATTCCAACTAGGTATACCGAGGCTCAAGCTATCGATCGCGCCTATCGAATCGGTCAAATGCGATCCGTCCAGGTTCACCGCCTGCTCGTCCCGGACACGGTCGAAGACCGCATTCTCGCCTTACAAGAAAAGAAGAAAGAGCTAATCGAAACCGCGCTGGACGAAAATGCAGCCAGGAACGTGAGCAGGTTAGGAGTAAGGGAATTAGGTTACCTTTTCGTAAGTGAACACTCTTCGCGTTGACGATGATTGCTGATGTCTTGTCAAGGGCGTCAACTCTTTGTAATAGCGGTACAAGTTCTACAGGTCTTTGCCATCGTTTGAAGGCATGTGCTGAATGTTTCCCCAAAGTATGTTGCTTGTATATCATTGCGTGTTGGTAGCGAGGGGATTGGGAAGCTCTCTGAGTAGTCCATGTCAGCACATGTACTCCAAGTGGCGCTCGTGTAGCAGTGTGCTGTTAACTGGCTCCTACGTAGAATTAGAGACTAAGACAGCGACGTCAGTACTACTTGTGAGTACGAGCAGACGTGGAAGACATCAGTATCGTTTGTACATTTTCACGTGGAACCAATCTTCCACAGCAAAGTCTATATGATATATGCGGTGGTGCACGAATACCACTTTGGCCCGTCAATGGACATCATAAGTACAAGTACGACTTTCTCCACACGCAAATCCACCAATAGAACACTAACCTTTTACAGACGTTCATTATGCTCTAGATCCAGTTGTTTGTTTCAAATTGCGCATCAAGGACGCTGCAGGTAAACAATGCCACCTTGTAAGACGTAAATGACGTGTTGAGAAGAAAAGTTGGATCTTCCACAGTTTCTCAGACATAAGGCCTCGATCAACGTCTCTTTATCGTAGATATTTAGATCAGAGCGTCTGTGCCTACCAGGCCCTCACTCTATTATACTTGTAAGACTTTCTAGAATATGGCAGAAAGTGAAGATCTGTCCGACGTCTCCATCGACTCGGACCTGGAATGGGAGCTCGAGCAGGGAATCCCCCAAGTCGAAGACCCCTTCATACAAAAGTACATCAAAGGACGTGAAGCGCTGATCGAGCAAGAGAAGAAGAAAAGACATGGCAAGTTCTGCAATCTAACGACCTTTCTTCATTCTACACCGGTTTTCGATTATCAGGAACCCAGTTGCATCTCGGTTAACGTTTATTTTCTTTTCGTTACCAGACGCGCTGTTCAAATCTACCTTCACCCCCATCTCCGCCCGTGCAGCCAAAACGCTCTCTCGCATCCGCGAAAAGGAATTGGCTACAACATGGACCCCGTCCTACGTCGACTCCATCTCGGCTGCCTCCTCAAAGAATGGAGGAAACTTCTTTCCTGGTATGATGTTTACGCTAGCCCGTGACCGTATGGAGAAAGAGTCTACCGTGTGGCGTATCATCGAACGCATGCCCAAGGGTGCCCTGCTGCATGCGCACATGGACGCCATGTTCGACATTGACTGGCTGGTGGAGCAGGTTTTGAATGAGGAAGGATTGTGTATTCTTGCCCCGGAGGCGTTGAAGGATGATGCTACTAGGCAAGACGGGATGATTCAAATCAGATACGTAGATCATCCAACAGGTTCTACGGACGGAAATAGAAACGGAAGTATCTGGAGTACCCATTACATATCCATGACCCCTATTTCCATCACACTGGCAGCAGAAACCTTCCCAAATGATGGAATCGAGGGATTCAAAAGGTGGCTCATTGGCCGCTGTGTCATCAGTCAAGACGAGTCCTTCTATCATCACCACGGTCTGGATGCAATATGGCAGAAATTCCAGCGTTGCTTCCTCACCATCGGTTGGATGCTGTTCTACGAACCGATCTTTCGCCGCGGTATGCAGCGGATGCTTGGCCAATTGGCGGATGATGGGATCACCTATGTAGATTTCCGGATTGCATTCAAATTTGAATTTAGACCGAAGGGCCGAGAGTACGGGGAGGCAGGTAGCTACATGGAGTTCTTTCGAGCTTTCGATGAGGAGATTGAGAGATTCAGGACGACAGAAAAGGGAAATCGCTTCCATGGGGCAAGGATGATTTGGACGGTCATTCGCTCCACGAATAACAGGGACATGGTGCCCAATATGGCGGAGTGTATTCGCATCAAGAAGGCCATGCCGCATATCATTGCGGGATTTGATTACGTGGGACAAGAAGACAAGGGTAGGACGTTGGCAGATCTCGTACCAATCACTTTCTGGTTCCGAAAGCAGTGCGTGGAGGCCGGTGTGGAAATTCCCTTCTTCTTTCATGCCGGTGAGTGTTTAGGAGATGGCGACAGTACAGATCAGAACCTCTACGATGCGATATTGCTAGGCACAAGGCGAATTGGCCACGGATATTCGTTGTATAAGCACCCACTGCTCATTGATATGGTGAAGGAGAAAAAGATCTTAATAGAGAGCTGTCCGATTTCGAACGAGATCTTGAGGTTGTCGAGCTCGATCCTGACGCATTCCTTGCCGGCTCTACTTTCAAGAGGTGTTTCGGTTTCCTTGAACAACGATGACCCTGCTATCTTGGGGCACGGGAAGAATGGGCTGAGTCACGATTATTGGCAGACCTATATGGCATTTAAGAGTCTTGGGTTAGAAGGTTTGGCGACCATGGCGGAGAACTCGATTCGATGGAGTGCGATTGAGGACCAGAAACAAGGAGAGTGGCTGAAGGAGATTTCGGAGGGTTACCAAGGGCACGGTGCCAAGGCCCAGCGACTGAAAGAATGGAGGAGTGAGTTTGAGAAATTCTGTCAGTGGATTATAATGGAGTTTCCCCTCGAAGATGATGAATACGAAGATGATGAAGGGCGATGAGGCATGGCCTCCGCAGTGTAGATAGACGAGTGGGTATCCAACTGTTTAACACGAGCCGAATACCAACCAGAAGAGACAGACGTGCCGAAGAAGGAGCCTTGAAATGCGGACCTGTGCTATGTGTCCTTTGATAGTCGCGTTCGTAACACTGCCAGCAGTCATGTTGAAGGTCTTCCACTTTCCCTTTTGTGTAGCTGAAGACACTGCTCTCCACTATCCACTATCCGCAGGGAGCACCCTCGAGGGGTCTGTTGCTCAAACAAGCGCGAGCGGAAAATAACATGGCTGCGCGAAATGCGCGAAACACGCTCCAGAAGCGCGGGCGGGAAGCGTTCTGGGAACGCGGGGAACAGGGGTCCTGAGGTCCCTTAGTCTGACGAGGCTGGGGGTTGATCACGGAGACTGACCTATAGGACTGCCCTAACTTATGGGGGAGCGCGTCAGAAGTGGCGGTGAGGAGTTCCCTTAGTTAGAGGAGACTGCCGAACACTTCCTCATTCTTTCCATCATCTATACGTAGTACTCCGTACTATACCTAATCATAACCATGCCAATCAACTTGTGTGCATCTAGCCAATCATGCTTCCATGAATTTGTTTGTTTATCCTCTCTTCAGAAGCGCTAGAACGACGGTACTTGAGGTAGCGTCTCGTTCACTGTTCATGGCGAGGATGGTTGAGTTCTCAGGCTAGAAAGGCGCACAATCCTTCCCTCCAGCCATTCATCACGTCCAGCACGAGCGTGTTATTCTCGTGATGCTCTACCAGCTGCACCTCTGCACGTCTAACAGTTCTCTTGTCTGGTCCGCTTCCCTAGCCACCACTCGACTGTGACTCATACTTCCGCCCTGCTGCTCTTTCCTCCCACCTCGCATTGTGGCAAGTTGCGCTCCTGATGCTTTTCCCTAAAGGTGAAGTGGCGGCCTTATGACACCTCAGGCGAACATTCTCCCTCTCTCTCTATCCCAAATCATTCCCTTACCTTTACACTTGTGCTCTTGATTGGGACGAAGTCTTTTGTTTCAATTATCAGAAATCTCCACTCAATTCATCATAGTACTGTGCCATTTTTTTGTTGCTCTTTTATTCCTGCTACTATTTCCGCTCTGCTGCGACTCAATTGCGCTACCGAAGCACAGCGAGAACACCACATTACATTACACCTCGCGAGTGCGCAATGCGAATTTGCTCCAATGCCTTCGGCAGCGTTTCTCAGATTTTGGCGGACGGATCTCACGCGCGAGTGCTTACTCTCATTCATGACAAAGGAAGATCAGGCATCCTTGCGCCTGGCATCCCATGAGTGCAGTCTTGGCACGGCAGCCTCCCTTTTCAAGGAGATCCAGGTCTCATTTGGGACCAACACTTTTACACGTCCGGCCCGAATGGCAGCTTTGGAAAGGATCGGTGGTTACGTGAGCAACTTCACTTTCTCTATGCCACATTCCCCGGACACATTCCTGGCTCCGTTGTTGGATCCTATAACTGGTGAGGAGCAAGTCTTTGTCTATGAACCATATCTGGCACTTCATCGACCTTCCTCATCCGGTTCTCACTCATCGTCAAAGTATGGCAGCTGGGAGATGAACGACTTGCTAGTCAAGCAATATTCGCCTCTATTTCATGCCACTACAAATATACCATCCTTCGTGCGTGCATTCAATGCCATGCCCGCCCTGCGATGCTTGAAGATATCTTGTCCAGGCCAATCGCCAGCGCAGATCTACCGCCGCAGTGCTGTGGACTATGCATTGATCTCCTTGAGGATGGCTATTGAGCAAGCGTCTTTGCCGAGGTTGGAATGCCTGAATTTGGATGCCGTCCACACGTCAACAGTATTCTATCTGCGACCACTGCTCGGTATCGGAGCTTCGCCAGCATCGCTTCGCAGATGGCGACAGATTAAAACCCTGAAGATGCGCATCGACTGTCCAAGATTTGGCGATGGTCAGCCTACGGACCATCTGAAGTTTCTTCACTCGTATCTACAATCCTACCCTTTACTGGAGGATCTGTCATTTGAATGGCTGAACCAGAAGGGTCCATGTCCGCTGTCGCTGTCTTCCGAGCAGTGCCTTGCTCCAGGCGCTCTAGACTGCTCTGCAGCATGCCCCAAAACATTTGCTAAACCCCCTCGTGCACTAAGGTTTCGAAAGCTCCGCCGCATGGTGCTGGATAACTCGGTGCTTGATGCCAGCCAGATAGCGGACTTCATCATGGTTCATCGGAAAGTTCTGCGAGAGTTCGAGTTCGAAAATGTGCGTTTGCGAACTGGAACCTGGGATGATGCCTTGGCACCTCTTACACGGATCTCAGGCAGCGATTCATGGAAGGGAAAACAGGAGGAAGTTATGGACGTACCCTTGATGCTCAGCCCTGTGGAAGAGCAAGAATGTATCAAAGAATACATGTGGGAAGACCAGAAGAAACACCGGCCTTTCCGCACGCTTCGAAAGGCAAGCATGAAGACCAAAGAGATGTTAGGGGCACTGAGGTCGTCGGTGCTTACTTGGAGGTGAAATGGCTTTTGAAAGGTAGAAAGAGTGCCATTGATGGTCATTGCCCAGCTTTCCGCTCGATCATGGATCGACGATAATATGCCAGGGCGATGACCTCTGAGATGATGCAGGTAGTGCCGATGTTAGTTTTCAAATACATTGATGTGAACAGTTATGAATGATGACTTGCGCATAAAAAAACAGTAGCCATGAATAATCTAGCAAGTCAGCAAGGTATACTTCATGCACCACACCGTGCTGGCCTGCAGTGGATAATTGTTGCTGCCAAGGCTGGGTCAGTGAATTATTTTGCTCACGTGATCTGCTAGGATACTCCTGTGCCCGGACTCAGGACTGTCTTGCTTTCACGACACCAAATTTCACTGATCCAAAGTGTTCATACAATAACAACGACAACTTCCAGAACCTGGTGGTTTCCCATAGCATCAGTCACCCGCTTGTTTGCTGGCTTGTACTGCATGAGAGAACACTCTTCTTTCTCCATTGTTTATTCCCCTCTCGAGGTCCGAGCTGCGCAGAGCAGCCGGTCTACCTCTTCCTGCTATGTCTAAGCGAGAAGCCGAATTTCAGATTCACAACCAACCCATGTCAGAAGCCGAAACCAGAGCAGCTAATAGGATGAACAACCAAACACCTTCAAAGGCAACTCCAGCGCAGCTTGCAGCGAGAAAGTGAGCCTACCACTTCCGACATCAGCGCGCGTCATACTTAGCTTTTGCGCACTTGCTGACCATGATCTCAGGATTCGCGAGGCCAAAAGCAGCATGGCACGACGACGTACTCCTGGACTGAGCCCTGTCCCTACTGGACCATCATTCTCAAACACCCAGCCGACGCCTTCCTCGACCAATACACAGCCGACTGCATCTTTCTTCCCCGTGAACCCTGCGACATCTGCATTTGGTGGAAATGGTGTCAATGGTGCACAAACAACAAAACCACCACAACAACAACCTTTCGCTGCTCCTTCGTCGAGTACCTTCAATTTCACTGCGCCGACTGGAACGAATCCTTTTGCAGCTTCGCAACCTTTTAACCCATTCTCCAATCAGAATTCTTCTATTGAATTCGGACAGCAAGCCCCTGGTGGTGTACAGCGGAGTTCGATCTTCAGCCAACCTTCGGCCCCTCAACAACCCTCGAACCCGTTTGGCGTAACCAGCAACTTCAGCTTTGGCCAATCTACTGGTGTGAATAATTCTTTCCCTCCAACTCAGAACACTTCGATCTTCTCGAAATCAACGCCTGCAGCCAGCTCTTTTACATTCGGGTCAACTCCAAGCTTGTCTCAGGCTCCACCTTTCGGCGCCGCACCACAGACCTCTGCGGCGGATCATGATGTGTCAATGGATTCTTCTGAATCGCCCTTCAAGAGTCCAAGGAAACCAACCATGGCAGATCAAACAGCAGAGGCGAAGCCTGCTCCTCCCGTGTTTGGCGGCTCCAACCCGTTCTCGTTCACGCCAGCGAACAATGGTTCAGTGGAAGAGACAGATTCGAAACCTTCTATTAATCTTGGCAATAGTATGTTTAGACCTAAAAACACAGCAGCACAGCAACCACCACAGACTTCAGCTTCAATATCCTCTCAGTCTTCCCAATCAGCTGAGCAGACGTCTCCAGACAAGACTACGCAGCCGTCGGCACCTATCTTCAACTTCTTTCCCAAATCCATCGAGTCTGAAAAAGAAGCGACTGAAAAGCAGATTGCGTCAGCCTCGACAAACACCCTTAACCCTTTTGCACCGCCGAGATCGGGCGACACAGAGAAGCCGCAGGAGACCAAGGTTGAAACACCATTTTCCTTCGGAGCGTCTTCCGAATCCTCTCAAAAACAGAATCACGAACAGCCCTCGGGGCAGAAAGCCCAAGGAGCCGCTCCATTCAATCCGTTCCAGTCTCTACAATCCAGCAATAGTGCGAGCGTTCCTAGTCAGCCCCAAGAACGAACATCTAGCCCGGCACCTATTCAATCTTCTCAGCCAAGTGGCTCGACTTCTTTGAATCCCTTTCAGCCCCCGAAGGTCGATGACTCACCTCAGACTCAATCGCCAGACTCCCTCAACGTCCTGCAGCCTTCGAAGTTAGCCAGCGCAGCGACGTCTCAGAACGCATCTCAATCCAGCGTCTTTCAAACAGCAAAGCCGTCAGAAGCCGGAAAATCTGCAGATGGGTCAAGCCAATCTTCTGGCCGTACCGGCAGTCTCTTCCGGACACTTCAGCCAGGTGCAGAGGGGTTCTCGAAAGCAGCTCCTCCTCCGCTAAAATCTGCACTAAAGAAGCCTTCCTACACCCAATCAAAGGTCACCGTGACTCCACAGCTAGCAGAAGCAAATGCATCCCCACCAAAGGAGGACACCTCTGCATCTGCCTCGACTCCCCTGTTTGAGCCCCCTCAGTTAGCCAAGAGTCCAGAAACACAGGGGAATGCGAACAACACCCGCCCAAGTATTGGTGCTTCTGCCAATGTTCCGGAGCAGCCAGACGAAGCAAACGCCAAAGGTGCTAGGCAAGCATCGGAGACTTCTAACCTTTTCGCTCAAAGCTTGAGACAAGCATCACAAAAGGCATCACAGGACGCTGGGATTATGACTCCTCCTGCATCTCAAGCTGGGAGAAGTTCAGCTTCACCGACCAAGCCGGCAGCAGCTCCGCAAAAGGTTGATAATCAATTGCCTACCGCGGCTGCGTCGCCATCGACGTCAGCTTCGGACCCTATCGTGGTCAAAATCAAATCTCACGGTGCCTCGGCTGTACCTCACGAGCTAAACAATGACGAATTTGCTGATTTCGACAAGTCCTATCGGCTTCACTCACTGAATTCTCAATTCAAGAAGAGGATCGCGGAACTGGACCCGGAAAAGCATGATTTCGAGCCGATAATTCGATTCTATGCTACCCAGCGTGATGCCATTGGTCATCCTATAGGTGGCTTGTATCATCGTGTAAAGGCTGGCGAGAAGCGTAAGACAGAACAGGCTGACCGTGATGAACTCGTGACGAATCCTGCGAAGAGGACCAAAATCGACAACACAGCTGCCACCTTCGATCAGCAAGCGTATCCTCCAGTCTTAGGCTTCAGTGCCATTACCAGTGTGTCCACAGCACCGCAGCCGGCGACGGAAGCTTCACCTGAGATGGAAATAGAACGTTCAGTGTTCATGCCTAATTCAATCTCCAACGGTTCTATCACTGCTCACCAGGCAGCCACTTCATCAAACACCTCCAATGTCTTCAAAAGCATGCTTTCATTCTCAAATCAGGGTTCATCTGGAAATTCTTCGCCTCCGCGCGCTTCGCCTGTGTCGGCATCGAAGCCAGCGGAGCAGCCAACCCAGCTGTTTGGTTCTTCTAGCTTTACTCCGCTGAACAAGACGACGTCTGCGTTACAAAACGACATTCAGAGCAACAGCAATGGCACCAGTTTCGGGTCCAGTAGCTGTCCACAAAAGACTTCACAGCTTTTTCAGCCAAAGGCTGCAGCCGGTTCAATTTTAGAGCCGCCAAAATTTACTAGTGCTGGTGGTACCGATTTCATGTCTGCATTCTCCGCACAGGCGAAGAAGAACGCCGCCAAAATGGAAGCTGAAAACAAGGCGAAACGCAAGGCCGAAGATTTCGACTCTGATGAGGACGATGAGGCCGAATATGAGCGAAAAGTAGCCGAAGAAGACCGGGTCAAGCGAGCCAGAATTGAGTCTATCGCCAAAGCAGCATCTGGCTTTACACCTGTGCTATCAGCTGCAAGCTCAACCAATGGTGCGGGTCCTGTAGCGGAGCAAGCCGAAGAGAGCATTAGGCATGACGAAGCCAATGAAAGCGATCAATCTCAGGGTGACGAGGGCTCGGGCTCAGAAGCCAGCCATGATTATGGGGCCGGCGACGACGACCTGGAAGAGGATGAAAATGAAGACGAGGACATAGAAGACAGTCAAGAAGATCATGGAGAAGGTGATGAGACGGACGAGGATGATGACATCCAGACGGCAATGACAAAATCGCATGCGAAGGCAAAGAACCCCTTCTCACCCTCATCTGATCCCAAATCTTTATTCAACCGGATTACAAAACCTGCAGCTCCCTCAGAAGATAAAGGGACTGATGGAGCATCTACGCCTGTGCAAGCAAACAGTAGCTCAACATTCTCCGCGCCTCCTGGTACTGGACTTTTTGGATCCAGACCAACCACGCCAAGTCTGGACTCTCCTAAACCATTTGGGAGCAGTATCTTCAGCAATTCTGTCTCTACTAGTACCCCAACTGCTGATAACACGTGGAAACCAGGATCAGCGATCAAGTTTGGTGCCCCTACATCCGCACCTGCTGTTAACATCACGCCAGCCACGCCGCTCGCCAAGACGAATGGATATTCCACGCAGGGTCCGCTCAGCACCTTCTCTGCTGAAGGGTCGGCCTCAACGGCCTCCAAGGCCGGCGCCGACAACATAAACAACAACAACAACAACAGGTCTCCAAAGACAACGACGAGCGTATTCGGAGCGCCTTCATTTCCGGTGCAATCCGCTGGATCAGCGGCAGGTTCACCTAAACCCTTCAGCAACTTGTTTGGGGACGCCTCTAAAAAGACGACAGTGAATCAATCTAGTGCGGCCAGTGTTGGCTTCACATTTGGAGGTCCCAGCAAGCTCGGCCCGTCTCCTTTCCTTGCACCAAGCAATCCCAGCTCCGCCATCACCTCTCGTGCCACCTCACCTGGCCTCACCGACAATGACTCTGCAGCTGAATCTGGTCCCGATGAACAAGCTAAAGACCCACAGTCTGTCTCATGACCTTACGCCCTGGAGAGGAGAACGAAGATATCCTCTTCGAGGTGCGCACCAAAGCGCTAGAACCCATGACCGAGAAAGAGCTTACCGCCATTGGTAGTAAGGATGAAGCTGGTTGGAAGACTCGTGGTCTTGGACCTCTTCGCGTTTTGAAGCATTCGGAAACCGGTCGCGCACGCATCGTCATGCGAGCTGAGCCTGGTGCAAATGTGGTCATCAACTCGCAGCTCATCCACGACAACAAGTATGACCTCAATCCTTCTGGCAAGGAGAGCGCATCACTGAAGATGGGTGTCTTCATGGACGGAAAATATAAGAGCTGGGTCTTTAAGATCAAGACCATGAAGATTGCACAGGAGTTGGTGGATTGCTTGAAGGAGAATGAGCCTGCAGCCAGAGACGCTGAGTCGGACTGAGCTTCTTTTGTCGGCCGCCGCTTGCATGGAAATGGTGTTCGAAAGTCCGAAAGATATGATGAATTGTGCCTGTACCAGATACCGAGTTTGCAGACGATTGCATGAAGGACTGCAGACCTACTCAGATCCGCGTCTGAAATTCCCAACCCAAAACCCCAGTCAGAAACAACCAAAAAAATATTCGAAGGACGACAAATTTGCTCACCCACCCATCAGACCTCGCAGATATTCGTTCGAAAAAGAACCGCAGATCTACCTACTTGCAGTCAAAAATGGACCATCATGGGCATTGTATGCCACTTAAACACCACATCATAAGGGCATTGTATGCCAGACATCATCGCAAAAAACGGGCATTGTATGCCATTCACCACACATTTTAGAAGGTCATGTATGCATGAGCATGAACCTTTGGATTCATTGAGGCGTTCGGTTTGTCTCTAGGTTTGGGTTCGAATTCGAAGTATGAAGTCAAGCGTGCATGCGAGCGAGCGAGTGGACGAGCGAGTAGGTCATGAAGCAATCACCAGGTGTTCTACACCAATATCGCATTTGCGTTGCGTTGTGTTTGATCTTGTCATGCATCACACAAAGACATTGTCGTTGTTGATGCTTGCTTTTCTTTTTCAAGGATTGCTTGTGCTTGTGCTTGTGCTCGTGCTCGTGCTCGTGCTCCTTTGCTCGTGTCTCCTTTGCTCGTGTCTCCTTTTCCTTTGCTTTGTGCATTGGAAAGCCTTTTGCTGTGCCTTTCCGATTCTTTCCCCCTTTGTGTCCAAACTTTAGTGAAGGGGTGGACATAGCTACTAGTCACTAGATCGACCAATACAGAGAATCAATGCTTTTGCACATGCATGAACCAGGCTCCGAACTCCGCTATGTGGTCTATGATTGTCCTAGTGATTTTTCCAGTCAGCGTGTGGTAGCTGTTAACTTAGGCGCGGTGGAAGCTCTCCGGTCGCCATCAAGTAGCATAGGCTACCCATTCTCCTCTGTTATAGGTAAAGAGAGCCAGATATAAGGGAGAAGGATGGCGGGACACCTTTCAGAGGAGAGGTTACGTAGTGGTTGGATTTCTTGAACTACCGTATGTGCTTTATTACGAGATTTGGGAGGACAAACACGTTTCTCCATCTGTGTCTCCCAGCTCCTTCCGCAATGACCAAGTCGCCTCCTGCCAGCAAGCATGCACTCCCTTTATTTGTCTATCCTTCTCTCCATCCATCACAGTTCTGACGTTCATTCCTCCACCACAGCAGTAGCTAAACCCTTCGCGCTCGGCACATTCACCGCTTGCACATAGCTGTATAGCTTCTCCTTTGCACCCTCCTCGTCGTTTCGCTTTCTCGAGATCCTGACGCGCAGTCTGTAGGGAACGCCTTTGATGCCGGATTCCCAGACTTTCTTGTTCAGCTGTGGATCGAGGCGGACGTCTTTGGTTCCCTGGATGAAGGTGTAAGTATGGTTGGGCAATGGTGTACGCGTGGAATGGGGAAGTGGAGGGTTGGGTATAAGAAAGAAGTTGAAAAGATGATTCTAATTCATGGGGATAGAGGTGTGAGCGCAAAGGATGCGGAACATACCATCGACAACGTCGCAAACTTCTTAATCTCCTTGATCGCTCTAGGAGCTCTCTTCTTGAATGAAACGCCATGGACCTATTCAAAAAGCCAACAAATCAGTCTTCCGTCCAATGCTCCCCCATAACTTTGACAGTGCTGTAGGGAGCCATAATCTGGACTTCATAAAACCAATTCTATTTGCAGAGATCTCAACATACTCGCTTGTGTAAATGGATGGTGTATTCTCGTGCGACGACATCGGTGATGGCGGAGCGGTGGCCGGTCTTTTTGTTCGGCGGCACCTTGGGGGTGGTTGACGGTTTCTCTTTCGGCATTTTGGATGCGGGGGTGAGGATGGAGGCTGTTTGAGTGTTGTCAGCATTTAGGCTGCGATCAGCTCGAAAAGGGCCTTCAACTATAGCACAGGGACTCACTTAGGCGACGAGCAAGGTGTGGTGTTGCAGCCTACCAGCACTCAGGAATTTCTGCGAATTTCAATATCTAGTTGTGGGTGCGTAACGCTAAGACGAATGTAGACAGTGTGAAGGGCCCACGCCAAGACTTTTTACACTGGAAGTCATGCAAGAACCTGCAAAGGCGAGAAGGTATCGTCAGGAGAGATTACGAAGCAGCGGAGGCATCTAGATGGTTGCCTAGCATCACAGAACGCACATCGAGGTCAAAGCAAGGTATAACACGAAAAGCAGATCATTTGGAATAGCACTCATCATTCTTCGAATCTTACCGTCCCTGCGCTGACATCGGGATAGACATCGAAGCGGCGCTGTGTATTCAAGGGAATTCCCTTCCGTGTCTCCTCAATCTTTGCTCCTTCTAATTCGCCATATATGATTGCTTCCTTCTCGTCCGCCTCAGCGATGACTTCGGCATTCGGGTTGACCAGCATCGTGTGACCCCATGCGTGATAACTTGCATCCATATCTCTTGCCGGACTGCACAATGCCACGTAGACTTGGTTGTCCATGGCCCTCGCTCTTCCTTGCAATGACCAGTGCATCGGACCGGTGGTAGTATTAAAAGCGCCTGGGTAGACCAACAAGAACGCACCTTTTCGTGCCGCTATTGTAGCGAGCTCGGGAAATCGAACATCGTAGCAAATGGCAAGCCCGATCTGTCCATACTCGGGCATGTCGAAGATTGTGACCTTGTTGCCAGGCGAAAGGACATCGCTTTCCTTGAATGTGATCTTGCCAGGTATGTCAATGTCGAATAGATGTGTCTTGCGATGAGCTGCAATAAGGTTGCCCGCTGGCGAAAAGACCAAGGACGTATTGTAGTACTTCTTCGTGTCAGGAACAAACTCAGGTATACTTCCACCAATAAGATATGCTTTGGCTTCCATTGCTATGGAGGAGAGTGTATGCCATGAGGGAGCTTGGTCCTTGGGTGGTGGTGTTGGAAGAATGGTTTCGGCATACTTTGGAAAGTATTGGCACCCGTAAGGAGAGTTGAAGCATTCAGGCAACACTATCAGTTTCGCGCCTGCCTTTGCTGCCTCGAGTACTTTCGACCGTGCTTGAGAGAGATTTGCTGCTTTGTCGGCGCCTGCAAGCCCCAGGGTCAGTATGGGGGAGAGTCTGTTTGAGAGACATGTTTGGAAGCGTGCTACCGTTGCATACCTGCCGCCAGTTGGACCAGAGCAAGCTTCAGTGGCTGCTTGAGGAGGCTTGCCATGGCGATAAGCAGGTGCGCCAACTCAGGGTTTGCTTTCTATCAAGGTGTACTCTGTATATTGACAGAGTTTGAAAGCGAGCAACTGCCATTGCGGCATTGCCGAGGTTGTTCGACGAAATAAATACTTATCGTTAACGCCCAACACCACAAAGCGGGCCACCCCACAAAGCGGGCCAATTTCGGGTCACCCACAAAAAACCACCCTCAAATTTCTAACGCTTATTACTCCACCAATTTACGTCCAAATGGCCTCAAACCAAGAGCAATTGATTCAGCAGGCGTTAAATGACCTAGATGTAGGTGCTGAGAAGTCAATTCGCAAGGTAGCTGCCAAATACAGGGTTTCAAAAACGACTGTGGCTTACCGACGCAGAGGTCGCAACCCACGTACGCAAGCCAATCGCAGGACTCAACGCCTATCTTTAGAAGAAGAAAAAACTCTAATTCAGTGGATTCGAGATCTACAGCGGCAGAATCTATGCCCAAATTACCCTAGAATTCGCTCTTTTGTGTACGAAATCCTGCGAAATCGAGGCGATTCGCGGCCCCTGGGCAAGAACTATGTATCTCGCTTCATTTCTCGCCATTCAGAGCTTCGAACAAGCAGATCTCGAGCTATGGATATTAAGCGCCTCTCTGCGCTTGATCCTACGGTTATAG